AACTGGGGGTGATCTCAGGTGCTTCGGAAGGGTAAACAGATCCTGCTCCACATGTGGCACCCGTCGTGTTGCTTATGTTATTACAAATCCGGTAATTAGTCTAATTCGGTAGGTCACATTCGTGAAAAAGGGGAGGGTATTGTAGTACGACATAGGGAACATATCCGATATCATCTGTGAAACGGTTATTCCATAACGGTCAACCAACTCGTGATGGCGTCCGTAAAATTTACGAAGGGATGATTTCAACTTCACCATTCGGAACTCTTGGTTTAATAGATTTGGTGTGAAAGTTTGGCTTTATTTTAAACGGAATATCACATCTTAATTTGTACGGTGATGTTGTTTATCGATCCCTGAAATTTAGATATGTTCTGGGCAAACTTATCAACCCTTTAAATAAACTATTTCTAAAAGGTTACGAATTCAAAACTGTAATTAGATATTTGAATATTGTTTTATTGGTATATATTGATTATGTTATCAGTAAGTTAAATTCATACTAAACATTGTTGTTAAACACATATGCACATTCACGGTTCTACAATCTGTCGATACCAATTTTTTGGCATTGCACAAGGTCATTGCTTTCTCTGAGTGATAATGACGTCTTGGCACTAAATCCCAATTTCCCAAGTTGTGTCTCTATGAGATGAAATATGGTGATGATATGTGGGAACCAATAGGTAAACAAAATATATCCCCAACAAAGGCGTGGTTTGTGATTCAGTTGTATTTACAAAGTGCAAACGATAACATTTTCCCTAAAGAATGCCCCTTTTGTGATCAACATGGAAATATTATAAAAATAACGCAAAAGACACGCAAATAGGTAAAGTGTTTAGGTTTCGAATATCTTATTTAATAACAACAGACAGTCGATATTTCAATGATTATTATTGTACACCCTACTTGTTTTTGTACTCATATGGAGCAAAATTAAAAAAGAACCGAGACAAAGACAAAAAGTAAATTGATCTTGCAAAGTTCGTTAATTTCACTTTCAGATATATTGATGATGTAATGTCACTCAATAACTCACATTGCAATGAGTGCTTGCATCTCAAATATCCCATAATAATTCTGTGCATGTTTTTTGACATCCGTTACTAGTCAATCACGTATAATCGACATCAAAAATCATTTGTGGATTGTTGACTTTAAACATTGGCTGCTAATTAAGTTTCGGGCTTTTTTGCCGATTAACCGATAATGCTCGCTTGTATAATACATGAGATGATTAAGCGATGTTTATTTTAATTTCTAATAATTTTCTATGCAATCACGTTTATTAATACACATTTGTGTTTACAGTTTTTAAATGATTTAGTGTATTATATTTTGTCTTTCAAATTAGTTAATGCTATCTTTGTTTGTTTACTTGAAATAATTTCCTTCAATCACGGGTTTCCCCTTCGCAATTGTGATGTACGATTATCGAATTTTTAACGAGAGGTTTCATGGTAATGGTCACTTAGTGAAACAGTAATTCAGTGGTAGTAAATTTATGAAGATTTTAATGAAATGAAGGATTTTCATCTTAAAAGAAAGTATAGTACAACTAAATATTTATCAAATTTCAAGTATATAAAACATGGTATTCGTTTTTGTTAAATTTAAAGGATCATAAATTTAATAGATGCACATCATTTGAGTAATCTTCATTATATCACAATATTTGAAATGACTTAATGATACTTAATCAATGTTGAACTCTTTCGAATAGCAAACCATCTTTGTACATTATTTGTACTTACTACCAAGAACAAAATCTTTATTTCAATTATTTGTGATTTAATACTAATGTCAATGCGTTATTGTTTGTCCAAAACGTTCTTTGGACTTGACTTTTAAATAAAGTGTTTATATTTTTCTCAATGATAAGGATTTAATTGTATTTAGCTTCCTTTAGTTCATGTAATAAGAATATATGATTTTTAGACTTACATTGTAACAATTGTTCTCTATTTTAAAGTAAAACTTACATTTTCAGATTTTGTAATGTTCTCATAGATTGGCTATTGTTATCATAACTGGGTCGACCTTGAACTTCAATTGTATTAATATTATGGTTATGCCTAATATGCATACAACACTTTATGAAACAGGTCAATACTTAAATTCGAGTTTATCTATACCATGTATACCTTTGAAATCAATAAAAGTTAGAACACCACGAATTATAATGCACCCACAGTATTACCTTCCTTAAATTGTTATCACCTCCTCTGTATTCCCTTCCCAAATAGGGTCATGGTGACCAGATGGTCTTATTCAAACGGGATATGACATCCTAATTTTTACAGTTATGTTGTTTAAAAAGCACGTAAATTTAGATATGATCCATGTAACCTTATTGATCCTTTGAAAAAAAATATTCTTTATTGATACCGTAATTAGATCTTTGGTTATGGTTTTCTCGGTACTGACATCGATTTTGTTTTTGATAATTTAAAACATATACAAAAGAGAGGCGAGATTCAAACTCAAAAGTAGAAAAAAAAAATTAAAATGCCATGAAAAAAAAGAAAAAAAGAAACAAAAGACAAACAACAGAACACAAAACACAAAACACAACATAGTAAAAAACTATAGACTCAGCAACACGAACCCCACCAAAAACAGGGGGTGATCTCATGTGCCCCGGAATGGTTAGCAGATCTTGTTCCACATGTGACACCCGTAGGGTTGCTCATGTAAGTACCAAAAAAATAAAAAAATAAAAAAATTATAACTCTTATTCAATAGCTCACATTCGAGAAAAAGAGGATGGGGTTGTTGTAACGACAATTGGAAAATATCGGTCGTCATCTGTGAAACAAATATTCCCTAACTATCAACCAACTCGTGATTGCGTCCTTAAAATTTAAACTGGGATGTTTTGTTGTTTAAAAAGCACGTAAATTTAGATATGATCCATGTAACCTTATTGATCCTTTGAAAAAAAATATTCTTTATTGATACCGTAATTAGATCTTTGGTTATGGTTTTCTCGGTACTGACATCGATTTTGTTTTTGATAATTTAAAACATTTACAAAAGAGAGGCGAGATTCAAACTCAAAAGTAGAAAAAAAAAAATTAAAATGCCATGAAAAAAAAGAAAAAAAGAAACAAAAGACAAACAACAGAACACAAAACACAAAACACAACATAGTAAAAAACTATAGACTCAGCAACACGAACCCCACCAAAAACAGGGGGTGATCTCAGGTGCCCCGGAAGGGTTAGCAGATCCTGTTCCACATGTGACACCCGTAGGGTTGCTCATGTAAGTACCAAAAAAATAAAAAAATAAAAAAATTATAACTCTAATTCAATAGCTCACATTCGAGAAAAAGAGGATGGGATGGTTGTAACGACAATTGGAAAATATCGGTCGTCACCTGTGAAACAAATATTCCCTAACTATCAACCAACTCGTGATTGCGTCCTTAAAATTTAAACTGGGATGATTTCAACTTCACCACTTGGAACTCTTGGTTTAATAGGTTCGTTGTGAGCAGCAACCCTCTATCAAGGAAACCATAATAGGAAATACAAGCCCCGGAATATCGTATCAACTGCGAGATATATAATCCATATGCATTCGCTGCTGGAATGTTGCTACATAGAATTAAAAGTTCACAATTGGGGACCTGAAATCATCTCGTTTGTGCTAAAGTTTTGTTTTCAATCGACCCTTATTGACAAATTCTAGATGTAAGTCAAGATATGAGGCAGACTTAATTGTATCGGTAGTATCCCTTATCTCAAGTTCGATGGGATAGATAACTTTGAAGCCCGGCTTTGATTGCTGATAACATTTATGTTAATAATTTAGAAAGAAGTTTCGTGGAGCACTTGGAAGACCCAGCAATATAACGTTGTTTGAAAGGACACTTATGTAATTTAGGTATCCAATAAGGTGAAGGAAGATCCAGTTCTTCATCTTTGGTTGAAACTCCAAAGGAACATAGAACAGACTTATGATCATCTAGGATTTCCTCCTTGGTTTGTATCGTGGTGTTATATGTTGAGAGTCCGATTAAATTGTCAATACCTAATCATTTATCAAGCAGTTTATAACGATGTTGTTTGGGTCTTTATCTGCTGGGACAACAACATACTTGTCATGGAGTAAGACATGTGTTTTGCTACAATCAATCTTTAAAGATTGATGTAGCATGTGTATTCATAGACCCATTCAGTTTTTAATTCTGATTTGTATCAACGACCTCACAGCCTTAATTCATCTAGAAAGAGTATCTACGTCTTCTTTCTCGCGTTTAATCCATTGCCTGGCATAATCCACGACTGCATTCATAAATATTTTGAATTAATGTAATTGGGCTCACGATATTTCGAGAATTTGGATAACACATTTCGTAAAGAAATGTTATTGACAATGATTAGGTCACCAACGTGGCCAGCAGGATTATATATGAATGGAGAACTAGCACAGGTGCAATCAACAGGTTTAAACTTGGAGTCGTCAGTATTGCGATCCTGCAACACGTGTTTGTATTTTAAAATATAAGATGCAATTGTTTTGGCATACATGTAGGTATAAGAAATCATAGGTACAGACTGATCTTTAAAGTCTTTTAGGGAGGGATTTCGAGTGATCTGATTTATGAAGAAGGACATTGCGTAAGGACTAGATTGATTACCTATCGTTTGTTGTTTTGTGCATGGGTCGTGCCGTTATTTATCTCGGTTTGTTTTATATTTGTAATTTCGGTGCCTTGTATAGCTTGTTATGCGGAATGGCTCTTGCTGATTGTTGAAGTCCGTAAGCTGACAAATAGCTGCGAACTTCTCCATCATTTTGTCCCTGGTGGAGAGTTGTCTCATTTGCAATCATACCACATCTTATCATGTTTACCACATCTTATCATGTTTATACTGTCTGTTTTACCTCGACTAATGTCTTCCCTATGTGTATAGGAAGAATATTTTATTACATTTGTATTGTAAAGATGCATGAAACCTACGAATTAAAAAGTGGTTAAAGCATGGAGTTTATTAAACAGATAATTTACATCAATAGACATGATTACATTAATATTTTTCTTTTAAAGTTTTCAGTCTGAAAAAACATGGATTGCAAAAATTTAATAAAGAATTAAAACAAGCGTCTGTACAATACATTACATTTTTTCCGAGCAAAAATCATTCGATTTTTTCAACAGGAGGAATCGGTTACTAGCATAATGCTCCACTCCGGATATGACTGTGTCTTTTTACACATCCGGTATAGTAAGCGGCTTTTGAAACTCCAGGTCATAACTATTGATATTCAACATTTAAAAAGGAAAATACATATACTAGTATACGTTTCCAATTGATTACTTTTAATATGACGGAAATCTTGTGTTAATGATGATGCTACAAATGTTTTTCTTTTTAAAGCTATTTCCATGAAAAACCTGAAACTATTTATCTTTTTTGTAAATACAAAAAAGTAATTATATTTCACAAAGATGCGTCAACAATGATAACATGATGCTTTTTTTTTTCTTATTTTCTTCTATGAAACAGTTCAATGTGATTAATGGTTGAAGAGGTGCGAATGGCAATAAGATAACAACACAGCATACAAAACGGTCAGAATACGTTTGTCAACATCACAACAGGGAAACTCATTGATAGTATGACATGTAAGCTATCTATATTTAAAAGAAAAAAAATTCTTGTAATGAAATATTGATACTGTACACCAATTAAATTTTAAGGGATTTAATTATGCGAAAACTCGAAATTATTTCAGGCTTTGATCTTCTTCCATATGTATAGATCAAGAAAATTAGAAAATAGCTGCGGAGTCAAAAATATACTATATACACTGTAAAAACGCATGGTCAAGGCTTACTATTATATAAATGCTTTTAGACAGATTAATAATAGATGCATCCTATCAGTCAATGATAGGTCTTTCGTTTTTTTTTACCACAGACGAATTGATCGTTTTTACAGACCACTCTCCTCTTCGTGGATGATTGACATATCAATATGAACAGATTGTGTTTTATTCTGGTCAGAGATTGTAGTGGTTTCTGCAATTTCATTTAAGCTCACATCAGGTTGGTTCTCTTTAGCTCTTTTACGTCTTGTCATACTTCTCAGGAGAAAGAAACACAATTCGAGCAATTCGCCAATGCTAATGGCGGACATTCCAATACATAGACCAAGAGCTCCTCCAATATTCGACAGAAAGTTCTCAAACTGAAATTGATAAACAGTTCAGTAAGATAACAACAATTTATGAAAATGTTCTAAAGGTATTTGGACCATAATCCAAATTGCAAGCAAATTATTGAAATCTGCAATAAAAATTTAATAAAAATTAATCAAAGAAGGAAATTATGTATTAGATGATTAAAAACTTATTCACAATCTAGAAAAAAAAACAATAAACTTTTTTTGTAGTTATCAACCTTTCATGAAGTTATGAGAAATTGCTTTGGATAGAAGAAATGGCATAACGGAGTTAAGAGATAGCTTTTTATATCACAAATACAAAAATGGCTATTAAAACTTTTTCATTCTCTCACTTTAAAACAGATTTTGAATATATACAGGCATCCATTCTTTTTTCTCCAATGTGTGTAAAGGACGTATAACAAAGTCACAATCATTGTAGTAAATATACTATATTAGTTAGCAATTTTGGTCTGAGTTATGGCATTTGGTCATCACATTTAAACACTTAAAACTAACGACAAATGAAACAACACACAATTCAAAATGTGTGTCGCCTCCATCCTGAAAAAAGAAAATAACACTTTAAAAATTGTATGTGTCTGAAGCATTTTACTGGATTTACCCTAACCAAGGACGCCTAAAACAATCAAATATGTTTCAGGTAAGGATGTTTAAACGATAAAGTTTATCAACAGGTTGTATGTTTTTCTATGGGCACAAATTTTGCCCCTTAAATAGCAGACTTGTTCCTTTATTGTTATGAATCACAAACTCAGTAAAAACCAGTATACATTCTATTTTATTGAGAAATTCAATTGTCTGTATTGACGTTTTGGATTTCAATGAGTGTTATCTATGTATTACTAGTAAATTATTGAGTCAGGGATTTCGTTAGCACAAATTACTTAAAGCGATACTAAATACTTCCATAGAAACACAGATTTGGTTTGGAAGTTTGGCTGTACCTGTAGAAAACCTATTTCAAACGGAATAGCACATCCTTTTACGGCGATGTTGTTCACTGATCCCAGAAATTATAATCTGGAATGGAAAGTTCACATACACCACTATATTTTGCAAAAGTCAAAACATAGGATTATGTGGCATGTTTTCAACAGTTATATGCCTCGAACTTCTAAGAGTTTAAACGTATACTAAAATTCTGTGCAACCCCTCCGTTTACTATGAGTATTCCTGGGAATTCATTTTGACCGCTATCCAAGTGTACGTATATTGGAAAAGTTTCCAAGTTGTGTCTCAATGTGATGAAACATGCAGATCAAATCTGGGAACCAAAATATCTATGAATAATAAATATCTCCCAAACAAAGGCGTGGTTTGTGAATCAGTTGTATTTACAAAATGCAACCTATAACATTTTCCCAAAAGAATGCCCCTTTTGTGAGCAATATCGGATAATTATGAAAATTACACCGAACAAACGCAAATCGGTTAAATGGTTTAGTGTCGAATTTCTTATTTCATAACAACAGAAAGTCAGTATTTCAATGATTAGTATTGTGCACCCCACTTGTTGTTTACTCATATGAGGCAAAATTCCAAGACAAAGACAAAAAGAAACTGGATCTTTCAAAGTTCTTTAATTTCACATTCAGATATATTGATGATGTTATGTCGCTCAATAACTCACATTTCAGTGAGTGCTTGCATCTCAAATATCCTATTGTAAGTCCTCTGTGCATTTTTTTTTTAAACATTTATAACGATTCCGCAACGTATAATCGACAACAAAAATCAGTTAGGGATTGTTGATTTAAAATTGAGGCTGCTAATCAACATTCTGATTTTGAGTCGAAGTTTACCGATCGTACCGATCAATACAAAATCATGGAGCACGTGTATAATAAGTGGGATGAAAGAGCGATGTTTATTTTATTTTTCGAAATTTCCATGTGTTTCCATTTTTTTAATAAAAATTTGTGTTAACTTTTTTTAAAATGATTCGGTGTATTTTAATTTTGTTTTCAACTTAGTAAATACTATCTTAGTTTGTTTACCTGAAATAATTTCCTTTCATCACGGTTTTTCCCTTCGCAATTGCATGTAGAATTTTCGAATTTTCAACGAAGGGTCAATTGGCGAATTTGAGTTAGGGAAAACATTGATTCAGTGGTAGCACATTTCTGAAGATTTGGACGAAATAAATGATTTTCATTTTTAGAGAAAGTATATGTATACCTGTTTTATAGTAATAAAATTTCAGGTATAAAAAATGTTTTTCTTTTCGTTAATTTGAAGGATCATATAATTTTATAGAAGCACATCATTTGAGTAATGAATATAATATCAGAATATTCAAAGTTACTTAATGATACTAAATCAATGTTGGACATTTTCGAAAAGCAAACCATCTTTGTACATTGTACATACTTATTACAACCAACGAAAAATTTCAATATTTTGTGACTTAATACTTAAGTTATTGTTTGTCCAAAACGTTCTTTTTGGCTTGAATTTTAAATAAAGGGCCTGCATTTTCCTCAATGTTAAGGGTTTCATTTTATTTAGCTAGCTTTAGTTCATGTAATAAAAATACTGAAATCCGTAAAAATAAGTACCCTACGAATTATAATGCATCCACAGTATAACCATCCTTAAATGGTTATCACGTCCCTCGTATTCTTTCCCTAATTGGATCATGGTGGCCAGATGGTCTTATTAAAACGGGTTATCACATCCTAATTTTTACAGTAATGTTGTTTATAAAACATTTAAATTTTAAAAGGATCCATGTAACCTTATTGATTTAATAAACCTATTCTTTATGGATACTATATATAGATCTTTGAATATGGTTTTATCGGTACTGACATCGATTTAGTTTTTGATAATTTAAAACATACATTAATATGTATTGATTTACATTTACCAAAACTTATTGCCCAACATCCTGTCGGTGTCATGTACTTATAGTTTGGCCTTGCACTAGGTCATTCTTTTTCTCACACTTTTTATGACGAATTTACACTAAATCCATTTGGTGTGTACTGGTTGGTATTTAAGTTTTTGAGAACATGATTTATTTATAAGTTGTAATTGGCTTTAAATTAGTTTTCAGTAACGGCGAGTACTCTAAGATCTGTACATTGTATCTTTTGTGTCTATATGTAATTTTTTTTTTGTGATTCGTGCCGGTCGCATGAGTCAAGCCATTTCAAACTGATATTTACAGTTTGTTCTTATGTTGTACTGCTACACCATTGTCTGGGAGGGTTGAGCGCTCACAAACTTGCTTAACACCACCAAACAATGCATGTGTATGTCCCTAGTCAGGAACTTGTAATTCAGTGGTTGTCGTTGGTTGGTCTCTGTCATATATGTTTTTCGTTTATTGTTTTGTCATACATCAGGCCGATTGTTTTTTTCGTTTGAATTGTTTCACATGTCGGGACCTTTTATATCTTACAATACGGTACTGGTTTTACTCAAGTTTGAAGACGGTACGGAGACCTATAAATCCACGTCATTGTTGAATAGTTGTCTCATTGACAATCATACCATATCTTCTTACTTTGCATTAGTACTCTATCTACAGTTATCACTAGCCTGTCAACTCTGAGATTGAGAGTTCGAAACTCGCTCGTGGCAAAGTGCGTTCGACTCCAATCTTAGTTAACAAGGATTGCACGGAGGTGGGTGGGTCTTTCAAGCAACTCTTTCAATAAAGACGCTGTTATACCCAAAGTCGCTGAAAGTATGGGTACTTACCAACAAACAAACACACAAACAAACGAACGAGCCTTCAAAAATGCCACAATAGCATATAACTGTTGAACACATTTAAAAAATATCATACCGTGAAAGATAGTATTTCTTCTGTAACTTCCTCATACAACGACGAAAAGTATATGTTGACTTGCAACAAACTGTCACTACAAAACAAGAAGCTTTAACTTAATTTTGCATATAATATTGAATACGTCATGTGGACGATGATACGATCAACTATGCATACAAATTTTGCAAAGCAACATTAAAATTGAAATGTTATGAGCATATTAAATAAATAGTTTGGATTTGATGCATTTTGTCATCTTTTTTATCAGATTATTTTACACAAACCGCATTTAAAAAAAGTGTTCGATCTCTGCCTAAGTACAATGTGTACTGTTTCATTAAACAGATGATAAATGTAAAAATAAGTAGCCACGTTAGGAGCTATACCACCAAAAGGGCCTAAAAGAATAGCCAAATTTATCTCAGGTAAATTGTCTGAAGGGGTTGTAAACTACTGGTGCCTCTTATCTAACATCTACTATGTATTTCATAGGGCAGACATAGCATATACTGATATCTCTTTTTTCGCTTCTGCCTGTTTTCAAGAGAGAAAATATTGTTACACAAAAGTTTAAACATATTTCTTACCTAGTTTCATTCTTCTTTGCATAACAAAAATATGACAAAATTTTCTGAAATATGTACTTAAACAAGAGGCTCTCAAGAGCCTGAATCGCTCACCTGTGTTATTTTTTTTGCATTGATCTTTCATTTGAGACTATAAGTCCCAGATTACATCGTTGATTATTTTTTTTGGTTTAATGTATATTAATAAGTGCTTGAAAATGCCATTCAAAGTATCTCAGTTTTTGTCATATTTTCTTCAAAAGCAAAAGAAAAGGTTAATATCATCTTTTAAGAGCAATTATATCTGTAATTGGTGCATGACAATTTCAGTCATTTCCAGTCATGTTCACTTCTTTGAGTTTCTTCTTCTTTTTATCATTTTTCCATATCAAAAGTTAAACGCATCAAGAGAATGGAAAACAACTGTCATAATCCTGCCTTGATTCAGGCATTACCTATATTAATGCAGATATATATATATATATATATATATATATATATATATATAAAACGTCTGAATAATAGTCAACGATTTTTCCCACGAGGGCGCTGGATCGTTACGAGTAACGATACACGTACACAATAAATAAATTATATAAACGCCTAAAAAGTGTACACAACAACACCAATAACAAAAAAAGGAACTATAAATGTAATTATTTATAAATATTTCGGATAACAGATATCCTTCATCAGTAAATATGATTGTGATGTTGAATGAATCATATATCAGTCTACTTAGATTAAACTATACAAATCTTGAAATTTATACAATAAAAATGTCAAACCGAACATCAGGTAAGACGCTTGCACAATTCTAAATATGTGTTAAACACGACATAGGTTATATGACTAATTACAACAGAGAGTTCAAATATATGCTTTAAATAAAAATAATAATGTGCGATATGAACTAGCACAATTCTAAAGCTTTAACGGTGACGACAGTTATGATGTTACAAGAACGATTGCGTCAATAAGAATTCCAAATAAACAGCACTGAACGATCTAAATTTGTAAATATTTCAAATTTGACAACGGTAGAGTAGTTGCAACAGAGTCTGTGTATTTAAACATCGCAAACAAACGGCCGTTAAAATATAATAATAAATTTTGACTAAGGTTAACTAGTTGAACGTGGCTTGGTACTTACCTGATGTTCGGTTTGACATTTTTATTGTATAAATTTCAAGATTTGTATAGTTTAATCTAAGTAGACTGATATATGATTCATTCAACATCACAATCATATTTACTGATGAAGGATATCTGTTATCCGAAATATTTATAAATAATTACATTTATAGTTCCTTTTTTTGTTATTGGTGTTGTTGTGTACACTTTTTAGGCGTTTATATATATATATATATATATATATATATATATATATATATATATATATAGAGTCTATAAGAATCAACCAACCAGTAAACTTAATAGGTATTGGATCATCAAAATAGACAATACTACACAAACAGGGAAAATTATTTGAGTCTAAAAGATTGTGTAACAATACCGATAAATATATATATATGCAAGTTTAATATTTGGCAAACCTGTATCACTTTTTTATTTAAAAAAGTGTGGACATAGACAGGTGTCAGTCATCCATTTTTTTGTGTTTATCTGGAATTTATCTATTGTTAGAATCATCAAATTATAAAGTCAGTGATATTTTACTTGAATTCGCATCATTTTTTTTATTGTTTACAAACATGTCTAAAATGTCTCATGAGCCAGTCAAAATTACTATCTAAATTGGTTCATTATGTTTGCATCATTTGATTCATTGAAGATAGGAGGCAATTATATTTGTGTTATTTAGGTTTTTATAATATACTGTGTGCTGTGAGATTTTGAAGTTTGTTAGGTTTTTAAAAGGTAAATTACTGCAGTTGACTTGCAGATGTTGAAATTAACATTAATTAATCTGTTGCAAATAATTGTTTCATCGACTACCATACAAGATATCTTTTTTTTTTACATTTGGTTCAAATAGAATTGAGAATTGAAATAGTGAATATGTTTAAGAGACAATAAATTGACCAAAATGTACAAGACAACTAAAGGTGGCCAACACAGCCATAAGGTTTACAACAGACTGAGAAACCTCGCACAAAGAGGTTGGTTTGTACAGGTTCTGAAACACTAAATAAATGTATACTTGTTTTTGAAAATGGACATCTCTGAATACTGCGAAACATAGAGGTAAACCAAAATTTTAACAAGAATGTGTCCATAGTACACTGATGTCCGGCTCGCACTATCATTTTCTATGTTCAGTGGACCGTAAAATTGGGGTCAAAACTCTAATTTGGCATTAAAATTAGAAAGATCATATCATACGAAACATGTGTACTAAGTTTGAAGTTGATTTGACTATAACTTCATCAAAAAGAGTACACACGCTGAAATGTCTCGCCTTCTTTACTGATCATTGATTTTATATTGAAAGTCTTAAAAATAAAGGTTTTACTAAAAGCATCACAGAAAGTCAGGTCAGATAAATCGTGTCAGACAGACATATACACCTTACAATTTTTGTATACACAAAATATAGTTGACCTATTGCTTATGATGATTGAAAAACAGACCAAAACAAAAAAAAACTTAACATTGATCAATGAACCATGAAAATGAGGTCAAAGTCAGATGATACCTGCCAGACAGACATATACACCTTAAAATCATTCCATGCACCAAATATAGTTGACCTATTTCTTGTAGTACTTGAAAAAGACCAAAACACAAAACTTAACATTGACCAATGAACCATCAAAATGAGGTCAAGGTCACATTACACCTGCCAGTAGTACATGTTCACCTTACAACCATTCCATACACCAAATATAGTTGACCTATTGCTTATAGTACTTGAAAAACAGACCAAAACACAAAAACTTAACATTGATCACTGATCCATGAGAATGAGGTCAAAGTCAGATGAAACCTGTCAAACTGACATGTACCCATTACAGTCATTTCATACACCCTATATAGTTGACCTACTGCTTATTGTATTTGAGAAACGGACCTAGTCACGTAACTTAAACCTTGATCACTGATCCATGAAACGAGGTCAAGGTCAGGTGAACCTTGTCTGACAGACATATAGACGTTGGAAGGAACCCATATACCAAATATAGTTATCTTATTTCTCATAATAAATGAGAAATTCACATGACATAAAAACTCAATTTTTTTTTTAAGCAGTTGCTGAACCATGAAAATCAGGTCAAGGACATTGGACATATGACATACGGAAACTTCGTAACATAAGGTATCTGCATACAAGATATGAAGCATCAAGGTCTTCTACCTTTTGAAATATAAAGCTTTATACAAATAGTTTACGCCGCCTACGCCGGATAGTAATAACTATGTCTCGCATACTGTGACTTTCGTCGCAGGCGAGACAAACACTACCTTGACCAAAAACTTTAGTTTTTTAGTTCAAAGAGTAGTGGTAAAGAATTTATTTGCAGCACAACAGTATTTAAATGTTGATTACTGCAATTGATACTTTTCAAATTGTTGTTGGAAGATGGAAAAATATTTAGATTTTTTTTTTCATTCTAATGCATGGTATTTATTTATTTTGTTGCAAATTTATAAGCAGATTAGCAACACATATTCTAATTTTGTATTTTAAAAATAGCTCAACCTTCCTTTTGGTGGTTTTTAATCTTGTGGCACAATTTCATAAGATATTTATTCACTTATATATAAGGTATTGTCTAGCAGGTCTTCAAACTAAAATATGTATGGATGACAACGCTGACAACACCACAGCAGTGTATACATGTATCATTGAACACAACTTTCTGCGGTCTCAATAAAATCAAAATGGGTATAATAATACATTAAAATATTAAATAACATACTACCACAATACTAAAGTGTAATGTATAAAATTTAGTCATTTGTGTCTTGTTTTATTTACATCAAATTTTAATGTGATACAGAATACACCTCAATATTAAAAGCAAAAAGTCAATTTATAATAAGTAATGGTAATTTTCACACAATAGCTTATATAATATTGTGTAACTAATAAGCAGAGTTGTCATGTTTAAATACAATGGAAGCCAATGTTAAGTTGTCATGGTTACTTAAAATGGAAGTACATTTTTAATCATATCTGATTAGGTTCTTTTAAGTGAGGGTCAAACATTTTATAAGTTGATGGAACAATGTGTGGTATATTTGGTGATCACATTCTATAATTATTGTATAAAGTTTTTCACTAGTACAGTACAGTCTCTGCTGTAACTTAAATGACAATATGTGTCACGAAAAATTAAAACAATAAAAACGTGAGGTTTTTAAATGTGTTGAAAATGGGGGAAAAAACATTTGTTTTTGACTTAACTTAAGACATGCAATCATTGAAAACAAAAATTTAAAATCATGCTACATTGCATTTTACATGTCAACTTATATGTTTAAAACTGTACTCTGCAAGTTAATGTTTAAAGGATATCTCTCACTTCTGTTGCGTCACTTTACATCATCAGTGTGATGGTGT